CTCGTAACCAAACGACAATATATGCCCTTTATAATGTCAAGATTTGTTTTGAAGCATGAAGCGGATAAGAGAACGAGCATATCGTGTCTCCTTTCATTCTTGCACACCGCGAATAAACTTGTTTCAATACGACTGGCAGGGTTGAACTTGGCAATTAATTCTGAACAAGGTAGATAGAAATGCAGAAGGGCGTTGTTGGGGTCAGAAGACCACTTAGGGAACGGCCATAGGTTCGCAGTGTTCGCGGTGTTCGTGTGTTCGCGGTGTTCGTGGTGTTCGCGGTGTTTGTGGTGTTCGCAGTGTTCGCGGTGTTCGCGGTTGTCGGTGTTTGGGGTGTTGTCGGTACTGTCGGAGTTGCCGGCAGGCTCAAGTGTGGGGTGTGACACGCCACACAAGATTTAACAATTTTTCCATAGTATGGCCGATCCCGACAACACCGACAACATCGCAAACACCGCGAACACCACGAACACCGCGAACACTGCGAACCTATGGCCGTTCCCTTAGAGAGCGCACGAAACGTGGAAGTTATCATAAGGTCCTACAACGACGGCAACGTCGGCAACCCCGGCAACCTCAGCAACCTCGACAATCGCTTCCTGCAACCTATGACCTTTTCCTTAATGAACAGGCTTGATAGAACACGACTAAGAGCTTCTGGAAATCAATCTTTGAGCCGTTTGCCTTAGGGCATACTCCATGCCATCGTCGCCATGCTATAGACGAAACTCAGGCATTGGCGAACATGCCTTCGTCTCGCTGTGACTTCGTAGTTCGTTCGTGCAGCGATGTGCAGTCTGCTACATTATTTTGGTGTACATTCAAATTTTCTTTGGTAGCAAACAACGATAGAAAATATATTGAAGAAAACGGTCGACCAGATTCGCAATTTTCAATTCATCATTCGACAAATTCACACCTTACAAGGGAGCTCCCTTTAGTCGAAGTAGCCTTTCCACATGATTCCTATACCACTTTGAAGAGCATTAACGCTGATTAAATCTGATTTCATTGTCTGCCAAGCCTCTCTGTATGCCGAGGTAGAACGTTTTTGGTGCGAAAAATGGTTTGGTCATAATTTGGTTAAATCAAATTTTACGGCTTTGGATTCAGCTTTCGATGCTTTTCAAGGTGATATTAGTTTCTTATGGAAAGGAAAGGTCATTTCGACCAACTGCTTCCTTGTTAGTAAAAGCGTTTTTGTGGTTCATTACTGGAAAAAAGCATAAGATAGATTACAGAAAACTAATAAGGGAAGCGTGCTTAGTCAAAGTGGCCTTTCCAGATGAGACCCATACTGCTTTGAAGAGCTTTATGCGTTGAATCCAAATGTGGCTTTTGAATCTGTTAAGCGCCTCTGAATGCCGAGTTATGGGCGTTTTCAATTCGAAAAACTGAACGCAAAATTGGAACAAAATCGCCCAAATTTGCTCAAATGATCCAGTATCAAGTATCAGAGCCGTTTATGCAATGGATACGTTTTGTCTAACATGCTGATATTCAACACTGCTTTTCTAAGCGGCGAAAAGATCGTAACAATCAATTTTACCTAAATTCTGCATTCATTTTTCGTTACAAAAACGGTCATAACGCTGAGTCCAGAGATGATTGGCAGATTTGGGAGGCAGATTTGGAATCACTGTGCAATACTCTTCAAAGCAGTATGGGTTCTCATCTGAAAATGCCACTTCGACTATACACGCTTCCCTTGTAAGCAAACCGGAAAGCGAAGGCAGAATCAGTTACTGCAAAATGAATTTCTTCAGCCGAGCAATGTATTGAAAAGTTGCATAGAACGTCATTGTTCTTCTATATTGGCTATGAAATGCTCATAGTGCTCGGGCGGTCAAGCAAGTTTTCATGTTGGTGAAATTATGGAACAAACTGCCAACAACAACATCAAGATGGATTACTCCCTTTTTATTGATGTCTGAGCTACTTTTGAGTCAAACTTCTAGGCTCCGACAAAGGCGAGATCGCTGGTCAGTCACTCAAGTTTTGTTTTAAGCAAATGTTTGCACAATAATTCACAAAGTGTTTGTTTTTCCTGTAGGTAACTTCCTCACTTTGAGATGAAAATTTTGTGATGAGCGGTATGTTACAAGGGAATGGTTAAAATTCGAAGCAGCCAATCACAGCAAGCTGTACACCGTTGAACACTCCATGCAAAGCTGGGTACTAATCCGCCTTCACTATTTGCTTCTTGGGCTTCTACACGAAGTTATGGCCCTCGATTCCACTGTGGGGACGCCGCGCATCATGAATAATTACTGCTTGCCCATCTATCGAGTAAGGTGGACTCGTAGCACAATGGTAAGTGTGCAAGGGCAATCGGACTCATAGGACGAGCTGACTTTTTTTTGCTAGTTGATTCTTTTTGCTTGCTGCTCTTTTGCAACCCAATCCCAATATCTATACTGCTAGCGCGAAGTCCCTAACACGGTTAAAAAGATGAATCAACATTTAAAGGCTAAGAAAACTTTATTTTTTATTGTACAAACTCTCTTAAGAATTGAAGATGATTATGATGAAAGCAGGAATAAAATGTTAATGAATAGGAATGCAAGAACGAACAGAAGCAAGCAGCAAGAAAGGTGGAGCTGAAACTAACAAACAGAAACCTATTTTTGGTTAGACGCGATAGATTCTTTTGGTCAAAAGGCTTGAGTGCGCTTTTTTATCCGAATTGGCTCGTACTTTCAAATTACTGAAGAAAACTAAAGTTTTCGAAGTTTTTAGATGTTGAATTATCTTTTTAACTGCGTTAGGAACTTCGCGCTAGCAATATAGGTATTGGGAATGGGTTGCAGAAGAGTAGCAAGCAAAAGAAATCGAACTTGCAAACAAAAAGCCAACTCGTTCTATGAGTCTGCACACTTACCCGCTGAGTCCACCTTCCATGCTAGGAAGGAAGCTAGCAGACTTATGATGCGCGATGGCCCCGCGGCGGAATCGAGAGCCGTAATTTCCTGTAGGAGACCGAGAAGCAGATAAAGAAGGCAGATATGTACCTAGCCCTCCATAGTTCAACGGTATACAGCTTGCTGGGACTGGTCACTTCCAATTTTGACCATTCCCTTGTTAGGAAAGTAGGGGATCTGTAAAATCTCCAAAAGCTTTGCAAATGTAGGTGGTCAAAATTACAAGGGGCCTCAAAATCTGTGGAACGTTTAATCTTTGATAACTCTCTTGTATAAACAACTCTTGCGTTCTTTGGACGGACTGCTTCGACTTAGGACTGCAGCAGAAAACGGATCTTCCATCCCTTTTTGTATACGATTGTGATAGAAAACTTTGAGTGGAGTCCTTGGAAGTGCTGTTTCATAAATCTTGAAAACATTTGAAACCTTTGTAGAGGTCAATAAGGCAGGTCACATGTCTTAGTTAGGTTTGTGATATCCTCTTTCAAAATTTGCCTAAGGTGATGAGAACCTATCTGTGATCTACAATTTACAACTTTACAACTTAAAAAGCTCTACAAAAGGTATTTGAATTGTTGTTTGAAGGAATCGCAAGAACTCCTTACATGGAAATCGATACATTTATCAAGAACTCTGGCTTTTTCAAGAATTCCATCATTTTGTTGTTTCATTATATCAGGTTGATTCTAAAGTTTTGTCGCTTTGATATTGAAATAGTCGCAACTGCTCTCTGTGTGAGCGCATTGAATTACAAAAAAAATGGAACTCGCGATTTTCAAAAAAGAAACGTCAAAAATTTGAAACGCTGCAGAAAAATCCGAGAGCATTATAGAAGATAAACTGCTCTTTCTAATGGTGCCAATCTTGTGCCAATCGAGCTTTTCTACGAAAACTTATGGAAAAAATGAAAAAAATCGTGAAGAAATGCAAAAAACGGCAAAATTGACGTTTTTTTGCATTGTCGGCATTTTTCACAAAAATCATAAGTTTTCGTGGAAAAGCTCAAGCTTGGCACTATTAGAAGGGGCAGCTCACAAAAGCTATGAGAAACATGCTCTCACATTTTTCTGCAGCGTTTCGGATTTTTGTCGATTCCTGTTCGAAAATCACGAGTTCTCTTAGTCGAATTTTTATTTTTGAAGTCTTTTGTCGTCAAAGAGTAGCGAAGACATTTTTAGAAAGTGGAGCATTTTCTATCTATTTAAATTTGTAAGTCAATACGTCCACAAGGGGGCGGTTACGAATTTTGCAAAGTCAAAGCGACAGAATTGAATCAACCTAAAATACTGATGTCATTTGGATTTTCTGTCTCTTCTAGTCTTGGTATATGTTTGAGATAATTTATTTTAAACGACAGCGCAAAAATTTTTTGGCAAGATCTTCAGATCAGATGCAACAAAGATCATTGAACAAAGGAAAAGGCAGCAAACTGATAGTGAACTCAAAAATAAATGAAAATAAGCAGCCCCACAAGTACAACTTGTCAACTCCATTCATCCCATCTATGTTCCAAAAGATGTCAATGAAAGCAATAATCACGTACTGGTTCATTTGTTCATGAATATTTTCGATAGCATTGCTGATGGAACTCATGAAATGAAGCTGTTCTTAAATTGGAACAAAGTCACTTAATGGTAGTTTCACGTGCAGATTTTTGCTTTTGTAAATAAGGTCAAGAGCTAAACTGCGGTGATAGCTTCAATTAATCTAAGGGCGCTCATCATTGATAATTACGCTGCTCAAACAGTTTGCTTTTTCAATGAATTTAATTTTATTTTTCTGTCGCTAGTATTTCGTTGTATGCAAGGACGTCATTTTTCAGCCAAAACCTAGCGTGAACAAAATGTGAGGGCATTATGTTTGATACACTCAATCCATGAACGGAATTGGAAACCATAGAACCATAGGGGTAAGATTATTGCTGATTTTTGTGTAGCAACATTTTGCGGTGAAATACAATTGCAGGCCCCACAAATTTACCTTCCTAAAAGAGCGCACCGTTGCTCTCTTGTCTTTATTCTATTTTCATTCATTTGAAAAATATATAAAGCAGCTGAAATTCAGCAAACCCGTCCTCAAATGGTGTCGCTGGCTACTGTAAGTTAATTATAGATGCTATAGTGTTGAATTCAACTAACTTCTCGTTCAGGCATTCTTCCTCTTCGGAGCACTCATCATCCATGAAGTATGCGGAACAACTGGGTGGTTTGGTCATAGAGGTCATAGCAATCCTGATAGAAAGAAGCACAGTTCGGATCCGGTACTGAAATTCGAACCTGGAGGAAAAGGCCCTAAAGACGAACACCATGGATCTAGAAACACGCGTTCAATTTGGAGGACACTGTATCATTGGGCGGTGCAACTTTTTGGTGAATCTCCTACCGATCAAGAGCTTTCCGAAAGACGTAAGAAGTGGTTGGAAGAAAAGATCCACAACATCAGCGAGCACGGTCAAGGATATGGTGATTTTGGTGGTGGGGGTTTAGCGGGCCACCACCCCGACCATTTCTATTATTACGATTATTATTTTGAAGGCCCCGGTGTTGAGCTAAGATAAAATCGAAAATTTTCTGAATAAAAGTTGTGATTTTCATTTGTATTTACTTCTGCAAACAGAAAATGTTTCAAAACTTCTTTAAGTTGTGCTACATATGACGAATGCGTTTCATTGTCCAAGCAGTGCTTTACTGGTTAGAGGCAATGATTATTAGAGGCAGTATATACAACTTGTCCTCTGATAATCTGAAACGAACACATGGAGAAGGAATGGTCGGAAAAACACATGAAGAGGAGGTAAATAAAGGTTGCTTCAAATGATCTTATGAAAAATATGGTGTCATTTGCGTTTGCTTCGCTTTTTGAATGTCAAGATTGTGACCAATTGTGACCATTGTTGTTGGAAAATTAGTATGTTGCTTCAAAAAAAAAATGAAGTTGAGCAGTATACGATCTAACCAAGAATGAATGCGTAAATTCTTCGTATATTTTGATGTCCGTCAGTCAAAGTTTGAAAATGCAACAGAAGCATTGTGTATAATGCCTATAAATCTTGTTAGGAACTGTGATGCTCTCCAAATGCAGAGGTTATCTGAACAACTGCATGATTGTTCCTTCCGGAAACTTCGTAAGCGTTTAGTGTAACGATGGCCCTTTTTGTTACACCTCTTCACAGCAAGAAACAGCTTCGTTCAATGACAAGTAATGTAACTACACAGCTGGGCTTGCAAGAAGCAGACAGAGTCCACATTTGTCGCCCAACTATATTCAGTTTCGTATGTGAGGCGTCCAATTGTATAACCTTTGATTCAACTGGCTTGGCGGCTTGAAGGAGGGGATCTGTGACCTAATTAAGACTGTTTGCGCCCGCGACGCAATCTGCGTCTCTCCTGCACGCCTCTGATCATTACCTAGCCTTGGGTCACGAAGCCGCGCCTTTCAGCCGCCAAGCCAGTTGAATCAAAAGGTGAATCTATCATACCGAAAATTCAGCTACCAAGATTTATCAGGTCGCTGCTAAGATTCTTTCCGTTTCTTGCACCGACCCGCAAATCCCGTATAGTTAAAATAAACAAATATTATAATCCAAGCATTGTATCATGCAGAATTCCTTCCTCTTTTTCGGAGCTACGTTCTCGTTGCAACTCTGTCAACGGACGCTAGGATAACTGCCAAAACTTAAGACCCACCATTTTTACCATGCCTGCTTTACGCTAATTTTGGAACATTCATCTGAGACTTATAAATGTACCGTGATGGCCAAGTGATAGAGTAATCTTTTTGCTAGTCGATGATTTTACTGCGTCTCTCTAGTTTGCCTTTGAAACCACCAACACTAAGATATGAATGCTAGAGTAACCAAATTTCCTGATCGGTATTATCTAACCTTTTCATAAAAATGCTAGACAATTCAGGTAGTATCCAGTGCACTTTTTTCATTTTATAGCGGTATTTCTGATTTACCTTGGTAATAGTAACATCGAGTTTTCAAATCTCGACACTCTGGAAAATTTGCGATGTATGGTGTTACATGTTATGCATTTACATGTTATGCATTTTCTAAGAATTTGCAGCTTTTGGAAAATTATTCGATAAAATTCTAGAAAGCATGATAGAGAAACATATTAAGTTGGAAAAAGTTGCACCTCCAGGTGGCTATCAGAGTACCTTCAAAAGCCTGTATCAAAAATTCTAAAAATGTGCGAGTAATTGACATGTTAAAAAATAAAGAGTCGTAACTTCCGGCGATTATTTCCGTACCTACAGCGTAAGCTGCTTCGGAAACATAATGACTGGAAAGAGGAGGGAATTGTCTGCTTATCTTCACCCTACGAGATTTGAGGGGTGGTCCGAAAAATGGAAGAACGTTTACACAAACCTAGTAGGTATGTGATTTTACAAAGGGTGATCCACATGGAGTGTTAAGCAGAAAATATTCGTAGCCTTGCAAGAACTAAATACGGAAGGTTTTGTCTTTATGTGATAGACAAAAAATTCTATTCACTTCCAACTCGCTAACAAGGTAAACGCTTCTGGCCTCGATAAAAGCATTTCTCCTCTTCAAAAAATTTTTCCCAATGCGGGCATTGTTTTGGCGACGCTTCTTCCCAGGCTCCCAGGATCTTCTTTTAGCACATCGAATGAAGGTAAGGTTCGAATAGCAGGCTTTTTGTTTTCAAGTTAGGGTGCAAATCTATGGGGATGAGAGTAGGCGAGTTGGAATTTTGAACTTTTTGGTCCAAATGTAGTCCACCCAAAATTTGAAACTGCCGCAGAAAATTCGTTCTAGGTCCTCATGCCATATTGCAAAGATAGCCGTCTTTTCCATATTTTTCTGTCCTATTGTGGCCATTCCTGGTTTCAATTCTTATTATTATTTAGATTTGATCTAGCTCCAAGTTCTCAACTGCTGCCGTTTAGAAAACGCAAATCGCAGATTTTCTAGATTTTGAAGTATCGGAAACGGATTGAAGGGCTACAGCCTTATAGGGTATATTCTTAGGCCAAAAGAAAAACTGAGGACGCCATATGGATTTTTGAGCAGGATCAGGCAGCACTAGCCAGCGAGGAAAAAGATTTTGCAGTGGTTTATAGTCGATTCAGGCATTGCAACAAATGACGTTTCGTCTTGCAACTCGCCTAGTCTTAGCCCCACAGATTCTCGCACTGGTTTACCTGGGAGCCAAAAACATGCTCGAGCAAGAAAGCAAGACCTAATTTACTTGATTTGTCAAAAGAACTGAAGAGAGCCTGTAAATATTTCTGCAGAAAGCATTGCACGCATTTCGAAAATTCTGGGGAAGAGATTAGAGAATAAGTGCTTTTATATCAGAGCCACAAGCGTTCATCTTGAAACTGATTTGAAAGATCTTATGCAGAAGTTAATGTCTTTGAGATAAAGACAAGAACTTTTAATCTCATTCACTCTTTGCCAAGTTATGAAGATTTTTCTAATGTGACACTTCATGTGGAGCACTTTACATATATTAAATCACAGCACCAAAGACGGCGGACTTATTCGCGTCTCTTTGATGCTCTCTTTCGCCTTTCTAACCACCTGCTGTCTCTCTCATGCACGAACTATCTCGGCCGGACGTAACGACGCCCAGTCTTCGCATGTCATGAGTCGTGTATACTTTGAATACCATCAGTAATTCTATACAGCCGTTTTTTAAATACCAGGTGGTTTCTAGTCGTGTAGTCTTCATTCTTTTTCTCATTTTTTGAAGAAGCGTTTGATTCGGTAAGATAAGTAAATCATCGAAAAAAGTTGAACGGGTTCTTCAAATTAAACTTATTATTCCCGACGAAAGTTGATCTGCTTTGGCTCCTCAGCTTCCAAAGTTGATATTCCAAAAGCCAAAAAAGCGTTTGCGGCATTTGCTCATTTTTTTCTTGCACAAAGCCTTTAGCCCAAATCCTCTTCAAATCATGAAAAATGGAGTTTTCCGGTCAATAAAAACAGGAAGGACTGGCCTGCTTGAAACAAAAACTTGGCGTATACAGGGTGTTGATTATACAAGGCTTTTTTTAAGGGCGCGTGGGAGGTCTTGGACTGAAAATTGCTGGACGAGAATAAAATTTGTTGCAACTCAGCTGCGCCGTCCAACCAAATCGAGGTTGCAGAAATGCCTTATCAAATACATAGGTCCAGCGAGTTTTTCTGCACGACAAAACATGACTCATAGTGCAAACGTCATAGCTGTCCTGCAAGACTTGGCTGAGAGATATTAGGTTGGCACATAAGTTTTGCAACTTTTCGCGTAACTTTTTTCTTATTTTATGTAGCAATCTCATTTTGTGATATCGTGTAGACCGTGATGTAAGCTGCAAGTCTGCGTAAACCGTTTGATTTTTGATAACATAGTACAAAAAATCTAAGCATTTTTTAAAAACTGCTAAAAATCAAGGTTTTACGATTTTTTGGCAATCATAAAACCCTACGAAACCTGATTCAAACATATGAAAAAGCAATTATAGGCAGCATGTAGCTGGAAGTTGGCACATTGGAATCAGTGAAAAAGAAATGAAATTTAAACACAAATTAAGGTGGGGCGCCTTTGAGAAGCTGAACAAGTCAAATGCGTCAACTTCCGAAGGCAATTTGTCAATAACTAACTTTGTCTGCGAAAAGTCAGAATTCGCTATAACTTTGCACTGTAGGGTAATCCTATACGGTGAACACGAATATCATATTCATTTGTCGATAAAATGAAATTCATTTTTTGATCTCACGAACGAGGCCTTTTCATGCGAAACGGTTCTCATTTTTGTAATCAGCATGTCGAATAAGCCCTATAGGTCAAGTTTCAGCAAAATTTGATGCATTCTAAAATTTTTCCCATAGTATCGTAAACCTACCGTAATCCTTACATAACACGGTAAAATTCGGCCAAAATATGTGCATTAGAACATGCATCATAGTCCTTATATTGCCAAAAAATGAATGTGCTACGTTCAAAGAGACAAAAGTTATATAAAAAGTTGCATTACTTATGTGCCAACCTAATAC